AAACAACTTCAAATTAACCATTAAAAGTAACATACCAAATTTCACCTATTTAAATACCAAGGTTAATATATATTCTATAATTATTTCAAAATTATCCACCAAAACACATTAAATTAACCATTAAAACATAATAAAATCCAACTAATTGAGTTTCAAGCTTGACTAATTTGTAATAATTTCACAATTTCCCAATAAAAAAACCAAAAATTGCTAAAAATTGAAGTAAAATTATATCTAAACCTAAATTTTAATTTGCTTAACAATTCTTCAACAAGCAAAAGAAATTAATCAAAGTACATAATTGATAAAATAATTGTGAATAAAGAAAAAAATTTCAACCTAGAACAGCCGTGGAAGGTGGTGTAGTCGTGGAAGGTGGCGCGGCGGCGACGTTCAGGGCTGCGGGGCGGCGTCTTCGAACAGCCCCAGAGGACACGAGCAAAGAAGAGAAGAGGAGAACGGCAGAGGACGGAGGCTAGGTCTGGAGGCGCGGCTTCTTCAATTCGAATAGTAGAGATGGAGGGAAAAGGAGGGGACGGAGGCTAGGTTCGGGTTTTCTGGTGGTAATCAAGGTGGCAGCAGTGGTGGAGGGAAAAAGAGGGGACGGAGGCTAGGTTTGGGTTTTTCTGGGTTTGAGTCGAATGAAACAGTAGGAAAGGAGGAAGAAAGGAGAATAAAAGGCGGTTTTTTTTTTTTAAAAAAAAAACCACCGAATCACAAAGGCACCGGTTCAAACCGGTGCTTTTTATCATTTTTGGCACCGGTTTGAGTTGAACCGGTGCCTTTTATCAATGTATAAATCCCGCCCAATTTTGGGCCGGTTTTTGGCACCGGTTTGGCTTGAACCGGTGCCATTAGGGGGTTGCCTTTTTGTATTTTTCTACTAGTGTATTAGATTTCCGTTCGTTAATATTAATCCCGTTTTAATCCCAATCAGGTTCGGAAGTCCTCCGATTTTGATAAAAAAAGCAGCGTTTTTCGTGTGTAAATAACGTTTTAATCCCAATCAGGTTCAGAAGTCCCTCGTGGCCAAATTTAGCCTCTAAATATGATTTTCGGGCAGTTTTTGATTTTTAACGAAGTTTTTTTTTATGCTTTTTATCCTTGAGTTTAAAAGGGGTAAGAGATAATTTAATGTTTCTATGGATAATTTAAGTATAAAGATGTATTTTGATGAAGTTTTAAAGGGTTTTTGATTAGTTTAAAATGTTGGAATTTTATTTAAAGTAGTATAATTGTGATTTTTAATAAAAGGGTGTGATTATCCATTAAAAAGGAGTTTAATTAGGGGTTTTTAAATAAGTTTCAGATTATTTTAAGTAGTCTAAAGTAAATTCAAGTTGCTTAAAATTTTGAATACAAGGAGAATTAATATAGTATTATTGTCCCTTTAAGTAGGAGACTTAATTCGGGAATTGTTGTAGTGTAATCGGCTACTTTAAGGGCTTATTTGAAATACTTTTGCGTACTTAGCATATTTTGGTGATGTAGAATCATGCTAGGCTTGATTTCAATCAATTACAAGTAGTATCATGCTAAGGTTTATGTATGGAATTGTGAATTAATGGTGTTGGTGATTGAATTGTGAAGCATGAATTATTTGTGATGGTTTATGGATTGGAAAATTATATTTTTGGGCATGTCGTGTTTGAACCACACTTTTATTTATGGCATGTTAGAATGCATGATTAATTAACCTACATGTTTAATTATTTTTGGAATATTGAAAAGAAATTTTATTATGGTCCAAATAATTTTTATTGATGCTTTAAGCATGAGGAAGGAGCTATATAAGTATCTATGTACACAAGGGATAAATTGTATGTTGGTGCCTTTGTGCACTTAAGGTGTTTTTAACACCGAGAGATAGGATTTTTGGCGCTTTATGCGTTTAAGGTGTCTTTGACACTGAGGTAAAATTAAAAAGGGTTCAACATTAAATAATATGTGGTCACTAATTATTCAAGAATTAAATTGGTATGTTTGGTTGATTGAATAATTATGGTTGATTGATTTATTATGCTTTGAGAGTCATCACCAAGTGCAATAATATGTAAATAACGTAAAGTGAAAGAGATTACGCACCAAAACTCTTGGAACGTATATACCTTGAGTATGAACAATGGGGGGAGTTATGGGGTTTTATATTTAACTATAACTTCTAATGGAATACAGGACGATGTACATTCCTTTTTATTTATTATTATGTGCAGGAATTCCGTCACCTTTGAGTGGTTTTGTCGCTGGCACGGTTAGCTCCCGTGTCAGTTAACCTCAATTTATTTGGGGGAGGTATTGTTGGAAACCCGTTCGATGCGTAATCAATGCTAAATGAATTATTTAGTGTCTAATTAATGTGTCTTGTTGATTGTTGTGTGTTCTTGTAAACAGGTGCAATGAGGTAAGTGTGTGTTGATAGGTGAAAGCATGTTAGTGTGTTTAATTACGCTTATGTACTCAGCTTTGCTGATTGTGTGTGTTTGTGTGTTTGCCTATGTCTTAACTTTGGCCCTACGACGACCCATTTTCTAATGGCGAGTAGTGGGGACAAGTAGAGAGGAGGTTTTCAGGTGATGAAGCATATTCATGAATGGGCATGAGTGAAGAGCGAATCATGCTAGTTTCTATAAGTATATGATGTGTTTAATGCTTTAATTATTTATGATATTATTATCATGCATGACTAGCGCAAAAGTTTTAAAGTTGGTTTGGTTTTAATAAGGGCCTACAATGGTTCCAAGTTGTAGGATGGTTTTATTTTACTTCGTTTGACTTTGGTTTTGACTTTACTTTCGTTGGTTGACTTTTCAAGTTGACTTGTTTTGAATGGTTTTGAAATTAGTCTTCCGCTGTGTGTCTTTGATGGCTGCCTTAGCCATTTTCACGGTGGCGGTAATATCTTAGATATTCCTATTTAAATTTTTAAACAGGGCAAAACAGGTATTTTAAAAGAAAGGAATTTCTAGGGTGTTACAAAGTGGTATCAGGGCTTTGGTTGAGATTTTATTTCCACTAAAGCAAAAAAAAAATGTATTCTAAAGTGTTTTGTTTTAAAACTTGGCCAAGTGCTTATTTAATTAAACGGTGTTAAACTAAATTGTTTTGAATTTTATTTTTGTTTTTATTTTAGGAATGACCATTTTTTTTTATGAAGAACATCCGAATTTTTTTTTATTAAGATGTCCGATTTTTTTTTTTAGAAAGCCGAAATTTTTTCGGTCCTTTTCAAAGCTTATTTTTGAATTTCTTTAAAAAAAATAAATAAAAAAAAAAGGAGTCAAAAATATTTTTAGTTTGTTCATGTTGCAGGAAAGCAAGGATTGAGGTAAGAAATATGTGTTAAAAGCTTTTATAAGCATGTTGGTGAGCTTGGGTAGGAGAAGAAAGGGCATATAAGCTACAATTTAATTTCTTTCCTATGTGCATATATATATATTTTTTTAGAGGTGTTCAAGCATGTTGTATGACTAAATGTTTATTGATGACAACATGTAATATGTGAATCATTATATGTGAGCTATCAAGATTGTTTAATTGAACATCGAACTTAATTTTCTATAAGAACTGTATTATATGGTTATGGGAAGGGTTTGCTATTGGTAGTTAATACCGTTTTCTTGTAGGATCCCTAAACCTATACCCTGTGAGTTTCTATGATGAGAATTTTGAGGAATGTTAAGGATTTTGAGAGTTCAATTGCTTATGTTAGGATGGTTCTCTTCAATGGTCTTATTTGAGATGTATTTTCGAAAAAAATTTGGATGCACATCATCACATGAATGTGAGTATTGTTTTTGGGATAATTTGTTGTTAAGATACATTGTCTAGATATTAAAAATGAGTAATTTGAGTTGTGTACACTTGTGTACGGAGACACCAAGTTATAAGGATAAAGAGATTGATTTTAATGCATATGGTTAAGGAGCTTAAGGATGAAATCGTTTGGGATATTATCTATTCTGAGGAATATGTTTTGTCTTTGAGTATGAGTTTGAATTGGAATCGAAATTGAACAAGAGCCTAAGAGAGGTGAGCATAGGAATTGATTAGAGATGAGTAATGATGAAAGTTATTATATCAGTTGAGGGATACTCAATGCGGATCAATTGAAGTTTGACATTTTAAGCTTAGTGACTTATCATTTCTTATGATTAAAGTTATTTAATTTGGGATGGAGAATTGAGCATATATATTTTAATATATGGTTGGAGTTTTGAGAAGTTATGATCTTGTTGGAATATTTAATATATTTAATTTGGGAGTTGTGGTATGTGCAAATTGATCGATATGGTTTACCTCAGGCCATTGGACACGATATGGCTCTGTCTCGAGGTTATTAAGATAAGGCTCATGCACAATAGGGTTGTTTGTACGACGAGCTTCTGCATTTGACTCAATTTTATGTGCTTAGTAAGCCTCTTCATGATATTTATCTCCTGGTGAATCGTGTCTAAATTGTGGCCCTTCACCATCATGGTGTTCCATACCTCCAATTAAGAGTTGTGTCAATGGGATCTCATGACCAAAAGTGTTGTCTATATGAGCAGCATTGAACCCAATACCACCTGCCCCATGGTTTGTAGAACCATTGGAGTCGCCACCACATTTAAAATTATTACCAGAAACACCAAGCAGGCCACCTAAACCTTTAGTGTCAGTGTCACCACTAAAAACACCTTGCTGAGCACCACCAGCAATAAATGCTCTTAATTGATCCTGGTTTAAGCATGACATCATGAATGACACGATAAAATTCTGCTGCTTCATCATAGATGCCATCTTTGACTTCATTGCATTCATTTTAGCATTCACTTCACTAGGTCCAGGTGGTTTGTTGAACCCAAAGTACTCTGTGTTAGTTACTCCAGATCCAACACCCCTAACAGAACCACCCCGTTCTGGCTTGTCCAACGCTCTTGCTAAGATGTCATCTCTATCTATAGCGAGTATCTCACCTTTTTGAACTTGCGCCTCCAGCCCAATCTGGAAATTATCGCAAAGAATTATATAAGTCACTAAATAATAATCTTAGTGACTGAAAAACAAGAAAAACAAATGCTAATATATCTTACTATTACATCATGGATTTCCTTATCTGCAGGATTATCAAAAGTTAAAACTCCATTCTTCACATGAGAATGAGCTTTGATCCAAGTCAAATGCCGAGGCACGTATGAAACATGTACTCCTTGCTTCTCCAGCTCTTTTTCCTACCATTGCAAATAAAAATAGAAAATATAGCTGAAACACAAAGAATTTCAAAATTTTTAAAATTATCAATTGAGTTCTCTATATATTCTTTTATTAAATTAACATGAAAGAGCATGGTGAGGAATGAGCACTATTAAGCTAAGCAGCGAGGCAAAGGTAAAAACAGAACACCAGGATTATTATTTAGTTAGAACAGCTAGTATTAAATTTTTTTGAAGTAAAAAACAGAAGGTTACAGCAATAAGAACACCACTAATACCACAAAGTAGTTATAAAATGTTTAGCATATACTTAAAATTGTTTCTTCAAAATATTGATAGCCAAGTCTCCCACCTCGATATTTTGAGGTCCTCTTCTTCGAACTTTCACGATTTCTTTCACTCAATTTCTGCAATAATTATATTTAATATCAGAGTTAATCCACACAAATTTTAAATACACAAAAAAAAATAAAGATAAAACAAATGCCAACGTAATGAACTTGCACCTTGAAGTCCCTAGAATTACAAGCTTGAATGAATTTTTCCCAATCATCTTTAGATATGAAAGGATATTTCAATGGTGGAGAATCATTGATTGTTCCATCTTTCAGGTACAACCACTTGAGCCTTAATCTAGTCTTGAAAGCTCTCCATCGAACGCAAGCTTGTTTCATAATCCAACCTTTGCGATCCTCAAGAACATGAAAACCCCTCTTTATCCAAAAGAAATTCAGATATTCGTCACATTTAAAAGTATCTATATAAAATTCAGTTTCTCTTCCTTTAAAACATAAAAACGTTATTTACATACCGAAATATTGTCATACAAATCATCAATGAGTGCTTTTGGCAGGTCTGACCACTTTCTGTAGGTGATGCTCACTTTTTCACAGACAACTACACCAATGTAGGTGGTGAAATGACCTCTATGAACACCGATAGGGATTCTCCTAGTTGTATGCCACTGTAAAGGGATTTTTGTGCCAACCTGAATAGCTCTCCTAACTATTCTGAGCACAGTACGACCTCTTTCTTCCTCGCATTCAGAATTGTCCGTTGCGTGCACTTGCAATTTCTTTCGAGCCATCCTGCTACTACACAGAAGGTCAAAATTTCGAGTGACATGAGTAGTTAATTTCATAACAAAAAAACTCAATTCCAAAAAGTAAACAGAATATGCTATAATGACTAAGATGGAGAAATTTAGATTAGCAATGAAGAAATTAAAATGATAAAAGCACACATTGATAATTCAAGTTGAAAAAATAAAGTAACAACCACAAAGAATTAAGCCAATGAACTGTCACACACCTATTAAGATTTTTTAGCGCGCTTTCGCTTAGTTCCCTTTTTTTTCTTTTTCAACCCACATGCCTTCATTGTGATCATCCTTTACATATATTGAAACATCATCGGCTACATCATCCTCAATATGTCCTTGTACCTTTCGCGTAACATAAGCATTGTTTAACACACTATCATCGCCATAATCATCATCAATATGTCTAGGATTCGGGGTTATAACCGCTGACATTTTCTTGTTTGCTGGGTCAGCCATATAAACACTTGTTTTGCTTGACTTAATAAGATGAAAGGATCTTCTTTATGACCAAATTTGTTGAGATCAACCAATGTAAGCCCAAAATCACTATGTTCGACCCCATTGTTATTATCAACCCATTGGCATTTAAAAACAGGTACTGAAAAAGTAGAGTAATGTAACTCACAAATCTCTTCAATAACCCCATAGTACCTCATCAAACCACTCACAGGATTTTTGTCTTTAGCACTGGCAAAATGTAAGGCTTTGGCCTCTAAAGTAACACCACTATTCTGCATAGTACTTTGTTGATCTTGGAACCTTGTGTAAAATGTGCAACCATTTATGACATATCCAGAATAGTAAGTGGCATTGAAATTAGGCCCGAATGCCAAACTCTTAAATCGATCAGAAATTAAAGTAAAAGAATCCAATAGCTCTGTTATTACTTGATCTTTGAACCAACTAATGAATGATTTGCTATGTTCGGCAGCTAATGATTTCTCATTTGCCTTTCTGTTGCACTTCCTCAAGTAACTCATGTGTTTCTCCACATATGGCATAACTTTATCCTCATTATGAAAAATGTATGAATGCGCCTTATGCCAATCATCATAAGACAACTCACGTTGTTTTCGACCTATGGTTCCCTCACCATCCATTCTTCCACTATGACGAGATACAGGAAGCCCTATCCGCTTTGAATTCTAAAAAAAGTCACCGGTATGAGCAAGAACTTCTTCATAAAACAGTCGTTCAGCTATACAACCTTCCGGATGAAAAGCATTCTTCACAAATCCCTTATAGGTTTTCATTTTCCTCTCAAAACACCACTGATTTCTCATGTGAACCGGTCCACAATATCTTATCTCTCTAACTAAGTGGACTGGTAAATGAACCATAACATCGAAAAATGATGGAGGGAAGTACATCTCTAATTGACACAAAACTAAAACAATAATTTCATTCTTCAAAGTAGTCAACTCTTTAGGATCAATGACTTTGCTATAAATCGCATGAAAAAATCCACATAGTCTGATAATTGCAAATCGAACATCTTTAGGCAAAATTGAGCAAATCGCCACAGGTAATAACTGTTGCATCAAAACATGGAAATCATGTGACTTTAGGCCTACAAGTTTCAAGGTTTCCATATTCACAAGGTTGCGAATATTAGAAGAATAACCCTCGGGCACTTTCACTCTTGCCAAGCTTTCACAAAATTCGATTTTCTCTTTTCTTAACAAAGTGAAAGCAGCAGGAGGCAAGTATGTTCGACCTATATCATTATCAATAGCATGGAGTTCACCTCTAATCCCCATATCCTTCAAGTCATCCCTCGCTTTTTTGCCATCTTTAGTCTTACCATCGATATTCAATAAGGTACCAATCAAACTATCACACACATTCTTCTCAATATGCATTACATCAAATGAATGTCTCACAAAAAGATGTTTCCAATAAAGAAGCCGCCAAAGAACTGAACACTTTTTGAACCCCTGCGTAGAAAGGGCCGATTTATGTTTCTTGCCAAATTTGATGTCAATATTTTTCACCTTATCGAATATCTTTTCACCTAAGATGACTTTTGATCGCCCTTTAAACTCTTGCTGCCCATCGAACACATTCTTTCTCCTACAATATGGATGATTAGGCGGCAAAAACTGGCGATGAACCGGATAGACATGCTTTTTAGATACATTTAACCACGTTCCCTTGCAATCTTCCATACTGATGGGACAAGCTGTTTTCCCCTTCACTGTGTACCCCGAAAGGTTGCCATACGCCGGAAAATCTTGGATAGTACAAAATGGCATTGCTGTCAAATTAAAATTCTCATTGCGATAAGCATCAAACACTTCAACACCTTCTTCCCAAAGCATAATCAAATCATTAATAACTAGAGTCAAATACACATCGATGTCATTGCCCGGTTGCTTTGGACCTTGAATTAACAACGACAAGAACATATACCTTCTCTTCATGCACAATGAAGGAGGTAAGTTGTAGGTCACTAGCATAACTGACCATGTGCTATATGTGTTACTCAAGGAACCGAATAGATTGAACCCATCCGTAGACAATGCAAGGCGTAAATTACGCTTTTCTTGGGCAAAGTCCGGGAATTTTCCATCAATAAATCTCCACTGCGGAGAGTCAGCTGGATGTCTAAGCATTCCATCGTCAACTCGACTATCGAAATGCCATGTCAACTTCTTTGCATCTTCTGCTTTTGAAAACCATCGTTTGAACCTTGGTACTATAGGAAAATACCATAAAACCTTCACTGGTACTGCTCCTTCCCTTTTCTTGTACCGTGAAGCTTAACAAATTGGACAACTCTAATGATTCGTATTGATTTTGATACAATACACAATCATTAGGGCATGCATGGATTTTCTCATAAGGTAAACTCATTCGGCTTAGTGACTTTTTTGCCTCATATGTACTATAAGGAAGAGCATTATCTTTGGGAAGCATGTCTTTCGCTAACTCCAATAACATATTAAAACTAGTGTCAGTCCAACCATGACCCGCCTTCAAGTTATGTACCACTACTACAAAAACACCCTAAGGAGTCGCCCTTTTAGAGTCGCCTCAAATTAATAGGTGACGCGTAAGGTTTTAGAGTCGCCTCTTACAAAGTGTGTGACACATAAGGATAGATAAAAAGACACCTAAAAATGAGTTGAAAGTCATAGACATCACCTACACTATAATAGGCGACACGTAAATTATACGCGTCTAGTCTTTCATTATGTGTGACTCATAAAGTATTACTTTACGAGTCGCATATAGTCTTTTACTATTACAGGAGACACCTATGCTAAGTTTTATTTTTACCCCTTATTTTTATTTTCTCAGTGTACCTCACTCTTAGTCTCTTGCATCCTCTTTCCTCTCCCTCTCCCTCTCTCCTCGTCCTCTTTCTATCTCTTTACTCCCATATCTCTGATCTATCTCTATATTTCTCATTCTCTTTCATTCTTAACTCTATCACTGCCCCTTCACCACCGCTGGCCCACCCTCACCTTTCTTCTCTCTCCTTATTCACTAGTGGTTGCCATGGTGGCGGCGATGGCGACAATGGTGCTTTGATTTTTAGGGTTTCGGTTTTTTTTGGGTATGAGGAGTTTCTTCAAATACCCATCTTTTAATGTTGGACTATGTATGCAATATTTAGATCTTACGGAGTGGTTGCTTTTTTTTTTTTTTTTTTTTTGTTCAGATTAAAAATCTTAAGATATTAATTATATGAGTTGTGAAGAGTGTTGATCTGGGCTTGCACCTCCTCCAACGATAGCGGCGACTTCTACTCCTCCAACAGTAGCAGAGGCTACCACCGCCTTCAACGACCGCGATAGATTTCACCTACAATCGCGGCGCTTTCACCTCCTCCAACCGCGACGTACTATACCTTCCTCTAATTTCATTTGAGCATGCTATAGTGAAGGTTTCAGTGTTTTTTACCCAATTTTTTTCACCTAATTTATTGGTTTATAATTTTTAGGGTGTTTAATACAAAGTAACTTTTTTCAGTTGACTAGAGTTCTTACTTTCCCATCGTATTTTTTGTGTTCCATGAATTGGGTTTACAAGATTTGTGGAATACCCGGTTCAAAATTTGATCATTTACATTTTTTTTGATGCTCAATTAATGGATCCAATCCCTAAATCTTAAGTTAGGGTTCCATAATTCTGGGGTACAATTATTAATTTTTCTTTGATTTTCTTTGTTTCGGGTAAACCCCACTTCATTATTTTGGGTAATTTTGTTGTCTAACTGAAGCTCATTATATGAATTTTGAGGTGTTTAATTTGTTTTGTTTTTTTAGTACCTTAACAATAATTCATATTCTTTTAAGTTTGTGACTTTAATTTTTGTTGTTACATGAATTATATATCATGGGTTATAAATCCAAATTGATCAGGATTATGTTAATTTCTATAGTCTCATCTTGTACTTGAATATATGGAGGAAAGCCTTTCATGCATGCTGGTGTTAGTTCATCTTTTTTGTTCTTTTCTGTTCTTCTGTCCCCTTTATCATGCTTTGGATGAGTTGTAACTTTGCAACAAGTATTATATCAATTATATCAGTATGTTCTTTTCATTAAGTTTATTACTACCAAACTGAAATCATATGTAACACATTTGTTGTTGCTCTGAAGAATTTAGAGCAATGCATATGGCCAATGCTTATCTATGAAAGTCTGAAAGCTTTTAGTGCTCTTTGCTTACTTTAAATTTCTAGAACTTCACTTGTTACGCAAAAGCTTGGCTTCAGTAACACGGTTCTGATGCATTTTTGTTTATCGGGAATTGTTGAATCATTGATTTTTTTTTACTCACATTTATTTATTTTTCTTTGTTGCTTATTAGTTGCAGTTTATTTGATGAAGCTAGGGTGTGATTTGATGTGTTTTTGTCTCTTAATTGTGCTATGTAGATGGAGTTACCTTGCCAGTTTGACATTGTCAATACTAAACCAAAGTTCAAGAAACTCGCATTATATACCCCTGATTGGATTGTATAAGAACTGGTAAGTTCTGTTCCTTGGTAGCTTTATTTTCCTGTCTAATGTGCAACATTATATGAATTGTTTACCATAAAGTGATCAGTACAGATCCTATGATGGAAATGCATGTCTGAAAGGTAGATCGATCTACCCATTTATGTGTACTCCGTTCTTTTAATCAATTAACTTTCATTTGTCATTTTAAACTTAAGTATAAAAACTGAAAGACCATGGGTGTTGCAAAATGATGTTGCTTCTAGTGTTGTTTCTTTTTTTTTGTTTCATATTTATCTTACCGATTATAATATTCCCAAAAGTTACTCCTTATAAACTGAAACTATGTTCTGCACTTGCTTTATTCATAAACTGTACTTTATATGCAGGTCTCTAAGCTTTAGCTATAGAGGACGAGGGATTTTATTGTTTTTATTAATTTTTTATGGAATTGTATAACTATCTTTGTTAGTAGGAAATTTTGTGAAAAACTACCTATTATAATCTAGAATTTGCGAGAAACTACCTATTAAAAAAAATGTTGTAATTGACTACCTAATTTTTTAAAAATGTTGTAATTTACTACCTTTACGCCGGATTATGAATGAGTTTGACCAAAATTCTATGGCGTTGACTTGGTCACGTGACACTTGGTGAAAGAAAAGGGTCATTAAGTGTCACGTGATGGTCACGTGACCAAGTCAACACCGGAGAACTTTGGTCAAACTCCTTCATAATCCGGTATAAGGTAGTAAATTACAACATTTTTCGAAAATTAGCTAGGTAGTCAATTACAACATTTTTTTTAATAGGTAGTTTCTCGCAAATTCTGGACTATAATAGGTAGTTTTTCACAAAATTTTCTTGTTAGTATAATGTCATTTAATTTGTTTATAGATTGATGATGCTTTTTGAAAATATTGTAGTATCTTCAAATTACAATCAATTAATTTGTTTTTTTTTTAATAGGTAGTTTCTCGCAAATTCTGGACTATAATAGGTAGTTTTTCACAAAATTTTCTTGTTAGTATAATGTCATTTAATTTGTTTATAGAATGATGATGCTTTTTGAAAATATTGTAGTATCTTCAAATTACAATCAATTAATTTGTTTAGCAGTAGTCTTATCATTTATGGTATAAGGGGTACAATTCTCTACTATTGTTGGTGCATGATGGTCAAAGCTTGTTGTCACTTGTCTTTGTTATTCTAGGATGTCTATGTTTATGTTGATATTTCTAATGGTAGTTTTATAGAAGTTTTTCCATAGAATTTTTCAAAAGCCTATTAGCTCAAACGGTAGAGCAATGTGCTATTGCACATAGATGTAGGTTCATGTCCTACATAGGTTGTAATTATAGTAGTAAGTGTGAATTTAATGATGAAAAAGAAAAAAAATATATTTTGGGCATGCTATTGAAAAATTATACTTTTAAAAAAATTACTTTACGCGTCGCCTCATAAAAAGTAGGGGACTCATAAAATACACCTAACGCGTCGCCTGTAATAAAAAAAAGGCGACTTATAAATCAACCTAACGCGTCACTTGTAATGAAAAAATCGACTCATAAACCAACCTAACGCGTCACTTGTAATGAAAAAGATGACTCATAAAATAACCTAACACATCACTTGTAATGAAAAAGGCGACTCGTAAACCAACCTAATGCATCAGGTCATAGGCGACACGTAAGGGGGTACCTATAGTGTCGGTGCCTGTAGTGTCCCCCTTGAAGCGATGTGTAAGATGGTTTAAAGGCGACTCGATAGGGGTTTTTTGTAGTAGTGAACTTAAGAATAGCGGATAATCGCGTGTACTTGGTGCATCCTTCATACAATGGCTTTTCAGAGTCACTTAACAAGCTCTCAAGCATTTAAGGGTTGTCATCAAGTTGATCCTCAACCGCATGCAACATGTCCTCTAACTGATCACCCTCGTCAACATCATGAACTACACACACATTATCCCTAGTCTCACCACTATCACCCGCATGCATGTCTCTACGTTACCCATGCCAAATCCAATGGGTATATGTTCTATCAAATGCCCATTTATTTAAATGATTGATAATTTCATCCGGTCTCTTATGCAAAAAATTATGACACATAAAACAAGGACAACATAGCTTGGAGCGACATCCACTATTTTCAAATGCAAATTTGATAAATTCCTTAACACCTTGTTGATATTCAGGGTCACCTGGCTTTGTTGTTGTTATCCAACTTCGATCCATTTCTAAGCACGAAGAACAAAACACAAACTCCTCAAAATCTATTAAAACATGTTACTTTCATGATTCATTCTTAGAATATACATAACTCAAAGACCAAATCACAATTAAAAACAGAGGAAGGTATGCAATTGGTGGCAACTAATTAAATCCACATGAACCCTGAGCATTGTTTGCCAGAAACAAACCATAAAATCCTAATCACTAATGGAAAAGAAAATACTCCTAGCAATCAAACAATTTTAAATGTGGCATTAGTTGTAAACAAATGGGCATACATTATAGCAAATATTTTATTCACTAATGGAAAAGAAAATACTCCTAGAAATCAAACAATTTTAAATGTGGCATTAGTTATAAACAAATGGGCATACATTATAGCAAATATTTTATTAAACTTTTAAAAAATCCAAACTTTCGCGGGAAAATCAAA